TTTAAATCGTTGCTCTGACGACAACTTTTCTGTCTGCATTTCAGAAAGACACTCCTGCGCCATTATTGAAGAAGGACAGAAACCTGAAGCGAACAGTTGACTGTAACTTTTCTTTCATCCCTTCCTACGTTACTGATTCTTTCTTATAGAGCCTACATGTTGCGTAATAGAACTTACGTCTCAATCCTTGTGGTTCTCCCTTGTCTGCATTCTACAATTGGCGACCCTGCCAGGATCCAGAGATAATGGCAAAACCAGGTAAACTGTCTGGTGGTGAAATTCAGCCGGTGACCTCCGATCCGGGGGTAAGGATTGCTTCCGCTTTGGAATCCCTGTCGGACACTATGCAGAAGATGACAACAAATCGGACACCCGCCCCTTCCACACCCCCGTTACCCCCTCCAGAAAAGTTTTCTCCAGGCATGCCATATCTCCGATGGGAGAAACAGGTGCAAATGTATGTCAAGCATTTTCCAGCACAACAATGGGGTACGGTGATCATGGGCCTGCTGGCAGGAGAGGCATTCGACAAAGTTACGGATAGCAAAGTGTTAGAGGGAGAAGTCACTACGGAAACCTTCTCTGCCCTTCGTCGCATCTTAGATCGGCGTGGCCTGCCCGATGAACTGCGCAGAGTTTTCCATGCCCGGTATCAGAGACCGGGAGAAGACGTAGAAACATTCGTTCGCGAGTTGCGGAGGATGGCGATAAATGCCTACACAGATGAACCGCCGGAACAACAGGACGAGCGAGTGTTGGAGCAGTTGCTCGAGGGCATCCAGACGCCCTCGGTAAAAAGAGAGTTCCGGTTACGACGACCTACGTGTCTTCAGTCAGCCTTAAAAGTGGCAGACCAATTAGAGCAAGTCGACGAGTCCATGGGCCCCCTGGAAACATGCTGCGTACTGAATCGACACCGCCCCGCTAGACTCCAACCACCAGACCGAAGAAATTGGAATCGCGTCCCGTTTCGAGGGGATTATTCGCGACCTCCAGTGCAATCGTACTTCCGGCGGCCCCGCCGACCAATTCCGAATCGTGGTCTACCTCGCTACAATAACGGACGCCCAGGTGAGTGGCACCGATTGCATTCACACTCTATACCAACCATTGTTTGTGCGTCGACCACAGATTCAGCGTTAGCAATAGAATTACAGATCGCAGGGGTTCCATTGATAGGTCTCATCGACACAGGTGCATGTAAGAGCCTAATCAGATCTAGTTTGACTAATCAGCTAGCAGAACATGTATACGCGCCTTGTCGCTGTCGACTAACTGCCGCCAATGGAGAATTCTTGTCCGTTCGGGGATCCCTAACCGCACAAGTTGACGTCGCGAAACAGAGTTTCACCCATGAGTTTATCATTGCGGACAAAATTCCGTTTGCTGTTATTGTTGGGATGGATCTGTTACGCCGGTTGAAGTGTCGATTAGATCTGGACAGGTGCCAACTAATCACCGATAACTGTACAGTTTTGTTAAAACCCGGTGGAGGTGGTGCTTTGGAAGCATCTACAACCTATGAGGACACCTTAGAGAGTGAAAAGTACATTAACGCCTTTATTCGCTCACTCGACAGAGTCACGGATGAGCAGACACTGAAGCGGCTCAAAGACGTGTTGCGCAAACACTCAGACGCATTTGCATGGCGCAGTACCGACTTGGGTCGAACCAATCTCGTGAAACACCGTATCGACACCGGGGATGCAATCCCGATTAAAATCCCCCCAAGACGCATACCATTACATTGGCAGACTGAATTGCAAAAGCTCATAGATGACATGATAGAAAAGGAGGTAATACGGCCCTCGACTTCACCATGGGCAGCCCCGGTTGTTCTAGTGAAAAAGAAGGATGGTGGTTTCCGCCTATGTGTCGACTATAGACGATTAAATGAGATTACTCGAAAAGACGCTTTTCCCCTTCCCAGGATCGATGATCTATTTGACGCACTAGGAGGATCAGTTTATTTCAGTACGCTAGATTTGGCTTCCGGCTACTGGCAAGTAGAAGTGGAGGAGAGCGACAGAGCGAAGACGGCGTTTGTAGTACCATCAGGTTTTTATGAGTTCCAGACCATGCCTTTTGGCCTCTCTAACGCCCCTGCGACTTTTCAACGACTGATGCAGAAAGTGTTACACGAATTGATGCCCCATAAGTGTCTCGTTTACCTGGACGATGTCATTGTACACGGAAAAACAAAAGACGAACACCTAAACAACTTGGCGGAGGTGCTAACACGCCTAGTAAATGTGGGCCTCAAACTCCAGCCCACAAAGTGCCATTTACTACAGACCGAGGTAACGTATCTTGGGCACGTCATTTCGGGGATGGGGATTCGTACTGACCCACGTAAGACGGAGCAAGTGAGATTATGGCCAACCCCGGCCAACGTTGATGAACTACGCAGTTTTCTAGGGTTAGCCTCATACTATCGGCGATTCGTGAAAGGGTTCTCAGAGATCGCTGCGCCTTTGAATACCTTGTTACAGAAAGGTAAAACCTTCGAATGGACCGTTGAGTGTCGAAATTCCTTCGATCGATTACGAGAATCCCTTTGTGAAGCTCCGGTGTTGGTTTTCCCCGATCTGTCACCAAATGCTGGGGAGTTTATTCTAGACACGGACGCGAGCGACCAGGCGATTGGAGCTGTTTTGTCACAGAAGGGGCAGGACGGAATAGAACGAGTGGTGTCGTACAGTAGTAGAAGCCTTACGTCAAGAGAAAGAAATTACTGTACGACAAGGAAAGAAATGTTGGCGTTGGTGTTTTTCATAAAACAAAATCGACACTACCTTCTAGGAAGAAAATTCTTAGTACGGACTGATCACCAATCACTCAGGTGGTTGCAAAACTTCAGGGACCCTGAGGGGCAGATTGCTCGATGGCAGGAGCAACTACAGGAGTATGAGTTCGAATGTCACCATCGGCCTGGGAAACTACACGGCAACGCGGACGCGCTATCGAGGATTCCGTCTCGAGATCACGGAAACTGTCCTTCCTGCATTACGCAACACGTAGCGCTAGTCAACCTACAGAAAGCCGAGTATGGTCGTTGGCAAGAGGCACAGGCTTCGGACCCCGACATATCACTCATCTACCATGCGCGGCGCTCGGGAAGGGACAAACCAGCTCCGAAAGAAATGGAAGGGAAAAGCTACGAAGCTCGGTGCTTGTGGGCGATGTGGAATAAACTCGCCATCGAAGAGGGGGTGTTGGTCTTCGATTTCGGCCCCACGTACCTGAGGAGGATTGTTGTTCCCCAGGCGTTAGTTACCGAAGTGCTGTCGGAACTGCACCAACAGCTGGGACACGCTGGAATCAATAAACTCGAATCGGCGGCGCGTCAACGATTTTGGTGGACGCACCAACGAAGAGACATTGTCAACTTCTGCCAAACTTGCGAAAGATGCGCGACGTTCAAAAATCCGCCTATTGCTCATAGGGCACCATTACAATCCATGACAGCAGGTTACCCGAATGAAATAGTTGGAGTAGACCTTGTTGGTCCACTACCGGAAACGCCGAGAGGGAATCGCTACATTCTAGTCATGGTAGACTACTTCACCAAATGGTGCGAAGCCGTGCCAATCACACAGGCTGATACTCTCACTGTGGCAACAGCGATGATTAACCACTGGGTTTGCCAATGGGGAGCGCCTGGGCAATTGCATTCCGATAGAGGATCATGTTTCGAAAGCTCACTGGTCCAGGAGATGTGCAGAGTACTCGGTATTGATAAAACGCGAACGACGGCCTACCATCCACAAGGGAACGGACAAGTTGAACGTACGAATCGGTCGTTGAAGTCACTCTTGAAGGCGTTCGTGGACCAGAACATTTACGAGTGGGATACGTTATTGCCTAAATGCTTATTGGCCTATCGCAGTACGGTCCACTCTTCTACCGGACAAACGCCGTCGTTTATGTGGACGGGTAGAGACGTTCGGTTGCCCTCGGATGTCCGATTACCGAGATCACAACAGGTATACCCGTCGGTTGTTGAATATGTCAGCAAACTCCTCGACTCCGTTCGACGCACACACGAAGCGGCACGCATCCATTTGGCGAACGCTCAACGGCGACAGAAGGAATACTACGACAAGAAGGTCTTCGGTGTCCCGTTGAAAGCAGGCGACCTCGTATATTTGCATCAGGCACCGGTATCCGGAATACCAGCGAAACTGCATCGTGAGTGGGCTGGCCCCTACGTGGTAGACCGAATAATTTCTGATCTGACTTGTGTGGTTAGGGACCCAAAGAACGCCGTTGGGCCGTCCATGGTCGTACACTTTAATCGGCTTAAACCTTTCCATATCGAATCTGAGCATTCGGATGAGGAACATCACAATGAGCCACCGATAGAAGTAGCCACCGAAGTTGAAGTACCAGCTCAAGGGGGCTTTGGTGTGGCAACGGGGACGTTGCCTATATAGAAGGGGTGCAGTGTAAAGAGTGATCGAAACTAGTTCGGCGCGTGGTTGAATTTAAATCGTTGCTCTGACGACAACTTTTCTGTCTGCATTTCAGAAAGACACTCCTGCGCCATTATTGAAGAAGGACAGAAACCTGAAGCGAACAGTTGACTGTAACTTTTCTTTCATCCCTTCCTACGTTACTGATTCTTTCTTATAGAGCCTACGTGTTGCGTAATAGAACTTACGTCTCAATCCTTGTGGTTCTCCCTTGTCTGCATTCTACAGGTATACCGCGAGGTCACCAGCACCTACTTGGAATAATATCGGTGACCTCCGGATTACGAAGTAAGCACATAACCTTTTCGGTCACGGGACGAATCGAGAGCCCAGTTGGTAAATGAAAAAATTTGGTAGTTGGGAGCAGAACATACATTTTATTCAAATTCGTCCTAAACATTTACTTCCTTGAACAACTTGAGATAGCCATGACTCAGTCGTGGGTACACACCGCTGCGTCATGACAAGTTTGTGATAAGACCAGATCTGATTGAGAAATAAACTGCAGAGATAGAAAGGGCTTACGGAGAAGTTGGCGCCAGTCGGCCGTTTCGTCCAGCATGGAGCAACACGCAAACAAGGCAACGGCTGAAATAAAGACAAGGAGAGGGATGTGTGTGCTACTGCAACACTAGCAACAACGGAAGCCTTTAAAATAATCAATGAAAGCTGTAAAAGCAAGAAACAATCAATATATCCAGTCACCCGCCTGATAGACAGTGTTTGAGCGGGGCAAAAACCACGGAAGGCAGATGGAGGATGAAGACTGGGCAAAATGCAAAAGACGCGAAGCCAGACTGGGGCGTGATAAACTGGTGGCAGATGCAACTCCGGGGCATCGACACAAGAATAAGAAACTGGAGTACTCATGCCCACAGTTACCACTGGCAACTTAACCAGTGCCCATAAAACTGAGGTCAGGGAAATGCCAGTGGATTTCTGGTAGTCAGAGTAGCTATCACCTTGGTTGGGAAATCCACCATGCTACCGATTGCTAGGAGAGATGCGTCGTGAGAGAGTTGTCTAGACTAAGCGGTCTTTAGTCGACCAAGAGGGAATGGTTAAGTCGTTAAAACCATGATACGGAGGAAAAGATAGGTAAAATATAAGAATACACAGCGAACAAGGCACTCTTTGACGTGACTAAAACAGGGAACGGCGGAAGTCCCGCTGTTCAATGTCGAAATTACGTGCATGTGCCTTATAACACACGATTCACCATTTGGTCAGTCATAGTCCGGGTATTTGACCCAGTTTAGCTCAGATATGAGCAATAAGTAGCAACGTTCCAACAAGATAGGCCTAAGCACGGTACGAATTAATGATAAGTGAGACGTAGTCAACCGGCGCAATAGCGCCTTCGATAATCCGACAATCGATCTCGTGGATCAGTTAGCACCGAACGGGCTGGCGTCCACTCAGTCGAAGCTGGCAAAACGCGACAAGTCGTGTGGAGCAAATTGCTGTGAGAGTAACATTTCCCGCGGTGCTCCACAGTGAATACACTAAGAAACATGAGGGCAGTGAGGAACGGCTAAGCGATCATGAACGGCGCACACTTCACTTTAGAGGGCACTGGTTTGCTTATCAGCCAGCTTATGCACTTAGCAAAGTTGTGTGGTATTGTTCTTCCGTTTAGTCTAAGCCTACGCAGGTACGTTTGAAGTCAAGTTAAACACTAAGAATGGAATAGATGCCCATTCGTTTATACCATTAAGTGACTGTAATTCTAATTGTGTTTCCAAATAAGAATATCAGAAGATGTGATTTATGAGATCGATTAGCAGTCCGTGTATTCTATCCGCCACCAGTGACACTAAAAAGGGTCAATTGAAAGTTGTGCCCGGTTGATGAGCTTTGCTACCAGGGTAAGTGGATAATCACACTCAGGCACCACTGTGCGCAGGGCGGTGGCCACTCTTGATCGATAACAATGGCTACAAATAGTTTGTGAGTCTTCCGCTTGATTGTACAATGACCGTAAATAGTAGATCGGAGTTGGTCTGGTGGCGCGTTTTCAGTAAATGCCTCGTAATTGCAAAGGCAACTTAGGGTTGTGGATACCAATCCCGGTATTAAAAAACTTCTAGTGCTGCACCGAATATACGTGGCCCACTGGGGCATTTGTACACACTATGGGACGCACCGCCTCGTAGTTAGTTGCTTTATTCAAACACATAAACAAAGATCCTAAATACGTGCGCAACCGCAGTGCTGAAGCATTGCACGCGCTTTCCAGTGCAGCACTTATTCGCCTATAGGTGACTTTTATGGTGTGGTCAGTTCCGAATGGTTGCTCAATGAATATAGGCTACTTTCGAACTGATGGCATACAAGCTATTTAGTCAATAAGTCGTTTTGTGAACTGTAAAGGAGAACTACTAGGCCGCATTATCTCAAACAGCTCTGCTGCGTGCACTGACAAGAATTTAGACAGCGGAGTCGATGAACATCAACAAGAAGTGGCTAAGTGACCGAGTGGGATCGTTTGACCGTAGAATCGAAAAATCGGAATGCATTGGCAAACACAAGTCGTCATAGCAATCTCGATTCATCACTCGCCGTTCACCCAAAGCAATCAAACACCACAAATTCGAAAGCCACCAAAGGCCGTTGTTACCGATCGAGGTCGTCAGTTGTTCCGTGCGGTTGCAAATGAAAGCGACATAGAGACCATTGAAGCCGCGCAGAGAGCATCAATTGTTAAATGAACAGTTCACTGAGCTTGACAGTATTTTGGTGATATCATCAGTGCGTTAATGTGTGTTGCGTGTGTAGCGTATCGATGCGTAAGTAGGCAGCAAAGGGCTAATAACATCACGTGAATTAGTTTTTCTATATGAGTTTCAGAATGTGAACGGAGAATGCACTAAATGAGTACGGGTTGAGAAGTCTACAGCATTAAATTTGCAAAGAAAGCCAAGCGAAGCGACCAGGTGCTGAGAGACCGGTTCAAAAGATGCTAATGGCAAGTGAAAGACAAGCGAAAATCATCAACCTACCTGAGGAATTTGAAGAAAAGACCGCAATTTCTCGACGTTATTTTGTTGCACGGCAGATTTCTCCCAACTGATAAGTGTAGGGTCAGAGATCACATTCTCTTCAGTTAATTGTGTCAGACTATCAGTATTCTCTTTCGCAGAGATGTCTGAGAGATCCACCTCTTCCCCGAACGCTTCGGCGACTTTATGTGATGCGTGTCGCGATCTGGAGGAATGTGCAGCGCGCGACCTTTGAGCTAAACGCACAGAAGTAACCGCAGAGGGTTTATCGATGCCCGACAGCAGATTGATTACGCTGATCCAACCGTCCGACTGGGTGACTCCCACCAGGCCAGGTAGTTTTGGTAACCAGTGCACAGCTGCGTTCGTTGGCAGAGCACCGGGGACAGCAGACGAGGGTGAGCCATCCAAACCAGAGTCTTCCAGCCGAGCCACGAAGAGTGGCTGTCGTGGGGCTGAATGGAAAGTTCAATTAAAAACAAGTGAACCAAAAGGAAAAGCGAAACAGTGCTCGTATGATGACGGTAGACAGTTCACCTACCTGTGATGCCAACGGACTCGGATTGAACCGCCTTCAGTGCATCTGATACGCTCCACACGACAAGAAATTCGCCGCTGGTTGGTTCCAAACCGGTGCCCAATCCACCCTCTGGAGTGGGTAGCGCACCGGATGCGGTGATAGACACAGCCACTAAATCGGGGTCATGCAACGACAGTCCGGGTTTGTGATAATTCCCAGATGGTAGTATAGGAGACCAGACCAGAGCGTTTACGGTGCCGGCGTTGCCTAGAGCAGCTTGGTCCAGTGGACCGCAAGTCGAGGGCGGCCATCGAGCGATCAACGCAAGCATATGTTTCGGATAACGTAGATCCCACAGCAACACATCAGCAGTGGGGTGAGACGGATCAGCCAAACATAGTCGCGTGGCCACATCCGGACTCCAAGCCATGAGATGTGGCTCAAACTGGATGGGCGAAGAGGGAAACAGTCTGAAAGGATTAATCTTTAAAATCATCAGTGTATCGATGTCCAGATTGATAAAACAGGCGAGTAACCGCAAATCGAACAACTGAGGTTACAACACTATAGTTATCACATACAACCAATGCCCAAGCGGTAGGTAAAGCGACGTGGAACAGTACACCACCGCAAACGTTTCAACTGAGACATACTAGTGGAAAACCGGAAATCCTCGTCTACTTCACTAACATTATCGGCAAGTTAAGACACGCTGGCTAGCTAGCACATCAAACGATCTTCGCGGTGCAAAAGGTAAGCTGGAGCGAACATCGTGGAGGACCAATAAAATTGTCGATAAACACTGATAGCATGGCGAACGACGTGCGATCAGATTTGTAGAAAGCCTGAGGCGTTACGTAGGATAAGTGTGGACAGACGAAATGATTGGCTGATTGCGCATGTGTAGTAGGGAACGTGAAACTGCGAACCACGAGGATCTGAAAGGAGTAAGCTGCATACGATAAGCAGTGTACGAATTAAAACAAACTGAGGCTAAACAAACTGCAACGAGTCGCGATGACCGTGATTCCTAACCAGATACTGGACATTCTTGAGTATTCGACAGCGGTAAACACAAGCCAAAATTCCACAGAAGCAAAACGATATTTGTAGCTTGAAAGGAAGCCTCACAGTCCAGTCAAACTCAGTAAGTACGATCATGGCACCGAAGTGTGGTAGATGCCGTTGAGATAGCTCACGCCACCAGAACATTAGTAGCGAACAATGGCGAGGAATGTAAGACAGAATTAACACAAAGTCTTGGGGAAGCTGGCCAGGATAGAATACTAACAGCTAGATGAAAAAAAACCGAACGTAGGTGTGACACTGACTCCGCGACCGCGTCATGTCCGACAGGATCTCTAACCACCGATGTGTGCATGCAGATGCTCCGATCGGCTTCGGTCCAGTTGTTTAGGACACGTCATTGACTGACCAACTCAGTTTCATTCAACAAAGTGAAGAGACGCCATATAATGTACATAGAATGCAATCATCTGGCATACGAAAGACATGATCAAGCCAAAGCTCAAGTTTGTTCGACGCTCTGTGTAATACTCGAGGGTTTTTTACCAAGCACTCAAAGACACCGGGATTGCTCATCCAGTGGTCCAACTACGTAAGCAGAGCAGACTACCATCATCTTGTAATGCGCTGAATGTGCAGTGGCTACCTCCCTGGTCTACACAGCAAAAGATCAAGTCAAGAATGGGCACATTTTTAGCACGCTACATTATCAGCTGCAGATGGACTCAGAGAACATCATCGAAATGAGAAGTTATTAAATAGATACACAATGGAGAAATGGGTACACAATTGTCACTCAAGTAAACGGATCCTCACTTCGGAGCAAGAATTACCAGGACTTGCATCCAGTCGATATAGCAGAGTTTTACTAAAGCATTTATTTGACGGTTAAATTTCCATGAACATAAGCAACAAGTCGCGAATCGTGCGCAGCATGGGCATTCAAAACATAAATACATTGAGATCTTCTTAGTGATTGTGAAAGTAGTTTGACCCAAAAATGGTCAAAATGTTCGCTCAAAACTGACATATCCACAGTAGGAAATGTAGAAATGGGGCATAACACAGCGCTGTACACTCTACTTTTGATATCCTTGTGTCTCCATTGATCACTGAGGCTGTAGAAAGCAGCATCTTGTTACTCGAATGATCCACAGGAATGTGTCTTTAAAATAGACAAGATCGACCATACCAAGTTCGAAAGATGCATACGCTAAACTGCACATCATCAGGACGAACCTGACACATTGTTTTGGTCAAATGGATCACCGGATCACTGCGACGCAAATCCCAAATGGTACAATGACCGGCACATGTGGTGGCCAAAATATGCTGGACATGCGGATTCCATGCGACGGTGCTAATTAATTCGGGTGGCTGCGAGAAGAAAGCAGAAACGCAGACGAAGATTAACTGAAGGGATGTGGCGATGGGCGACAACATGTCTAGCTACTGCGCATGGTAGTTAAGTGATATGTGACCAGAAGTAAACACTAGGCGTCAAGACGCACTAAATGAAAGAAAGACAAAATTTCACATCATCCGCATCGTTATGGTGATGGTGAGCGAAAAAGTCGACTTGCAACAGAAATGATGGTGACTTGACTTGCCGTGAAAAGACACAATCGTGAGCCCGGTTGACTGTCGCGAATTACTCAGACACATAAAGCTGACTTAAGGCTACGAAAATACAGGAGTGACTTTCACAGGGGTTCTCTATGCCCCAAAAGAGAAAAGGTTGGAACCGAGGTGGTCACTAGTTGCAAACAACCGATCGGGCGGATTCAGAAAACGGTTTCTGGGGTTCATCAATAGTACCGTTGGTACTCGGCCCTTCTCTATATGAGCATTGATAGGCGGATAGATGATCCAAAAGCGTTTGTCATAAGACAACTGAGTACACCTAACAGAGGTGTAACTAAGCAGCACCCTCGGACACAAGAAAACGCGTTTAGCGGGGTCGCTGCCGGTGGCTGCAGGTATTCCTCACCTAGAGTACCACAATCAATGGCTAATTTCTTCAATATGTGATCTCTTCGACCAGAAGTAACCACTTATCGGTGTTCAAAATGAGCGTTTTCACCATTCGGTAGACAAAACACTATCTGTCATGGTTGTGGTAGCAGCAGAAAAAGTCATCGATCACGCAGTTAAGGTGGGACGAGCCAACGTAAGTTTGAACTGCAGCGCGCGGACACGGCGGGAATCATGGATAACAGCGCGTCAATTACCATCAACATCAACCATAATGACAACGCACGAAAACCATAGAGGCGGAACAAAGTAAACTCAATCACGATCAGTAATGCGGAATGTCTAAAGTTATTGAAACATACTTGTAATTTATTCCCAGGTGACATGGGTTGATCGAACTTTTCCACGTCCCAAATGTAGATTTCCGACTCATCCGAGACAGAAGCGAACAGATTGGTCTGCATTCCACAAGTGGAAACGAAACGTATGGTGCCCAAAGGAAGAGGAGAAGAAAAGCGTTACGACACAGATAGGAAAGAGGAGGGGTAAGAACCACTGGAAACATAACGGTGCACTGATATCGGATCGAATAAGCATGACCTATTGTCAGAGATCATACCCAGTCGATAGAAACAACCCGATTTGGGGAGGAGAATGAAATGAAGCGCGTTGACGAAAACACTAATAACATCGTAGTGAGCTCAGTCAGTCAGTGGACTCTGTGCACATAGTCGACCGCATAGAGGAAAGATGTAACTATTACAAGGATGATGATACCGGAAGCAGAAAACGACAACTAGGATGCTGTGATCAAACAACCTCGCACGTGCAAACAAAGGGCAAGACCAGTGGGAACGCATCGAACGTCCAGTAACCACCTTCTTGTTGCTAATGACTGAGGATAATGCGAAAAGACCGGCACACGGTCAACTTGGCCGTCCTGAGAAACTGAATGGCATAGCTATGAACAGAAACACCCGACGGTTTCCGCACTTCCGGCCTTAGCAGGTATCGTTATCTTGGGCGGGTAAGAAATGGTCATGATAGATGGGGCGACGGTTAGTGAAGCGAAAACCGAGTGTGCAAGGATGCATGTATACCGGATAAGCATCCATTGCAATTAGAGATTGTAAACGTCGATTCAATGAACACCGATCGGATGGCTAGAAGACGATGGAATCGATGACTCGGGCAACTGTTTACTGAAAAGCAATTTCCAAGCAAGGCAACTGAATTCCCATGTCACAATCGTTAGGTTGTTTCCAGTTAGGCCTACCAAGGCGACTAGGGCAAAAAGAATTCAGTTTCCAGACGGAAGATCGCGGATCGCTTGCAGTGTACTAGTGAAGGAGAAGGCAAGAAGTTGGAATTGTCATGCAGTTGGCCAGTGTCGTTGGCTCCAGTTCCGGAATAAGGAACCTGTGCAACAGGCCGCATGGTCCACTACGATCCAGGCTAAGATGAATGCACTCAGCATCATGACAGTTCATGAGCAAGTAGCTAGCGTGACCGTGCGTGATCAATGTGCATTAATCATCCTCAGACATAAACACTAGGCAACTTGCGCGCAACATTTGCATACACAGTGCGTAGATCCTGTGGTATGCACATCGTGTTAGGGAGAGAGGTGCCAAGAGTCATATGAGGATGTGCCCTATACAGCTCAAATGCAGCAACTGCTGGTACGTTTCATATATGAGCTAGGCAATGTGGCGATCAGTCAGCGTATCTTTTAGACAAGTGAGACAGCAGAAATGAAGCTGGAAGAAGTTGAACAATTTTGTCGGCCACAATAGATCACCTTACAGGGCATAATGCTATAGCCAGCCCCATGCAGTCGTATGTATAAGTAGCCAACGCGCTTGAGAAGATTATTAAACAGGTAACCCGGCCGACGTCCCCTATAGCTCAGTGGCTTAAGCCGGTGGCTAGTTGGCATCTGTCTCTAGCTGTCATGGGTTCGATCCCCAATAGCGGACAGAGAGGATGCGCACCACTGACGAGCCTCAATAAGGCGAAACGCGTCTGGTGCTTTTCCGGACTAGGCTGTGCTATGTAGCTTGCGAATAACTGGGACGAAAGCATTACAATTATAACTTAAAAAACCTCTTACGCATTACTAATATAAGCTGGTAGCATTCGATTATCTTTTATGATGGAGTACCGCACAGAGACGGACATTCTGTTGGAGGAGCACAAACTACAGCTATTGGTAGGATGGCTTGACGACAAGGTAGCAGGAAGAATACAAATTTGATTAAGGGATTCCACCTGGAGTCTAGGAGTCAGTAAACTGTAGCATGAGGCAACTTGCTCGGAAGCCCAGGTAATCAGTCTGGAACTGAGTGCACGTAGATGTGAAAGATTTAGAACAATTAGTGAGCGTCTTCCAACTGCGTCCAACTTAAGGCCGGCGACCACGATCATCCGCAGATGAGTTTCGATAACACAGCACTATAACAACCAGATGTTTTTCGATCTGATTGTAAGAACCCACTGAGAAACAGCTGTGCCCTCGTTCGCCACAGAAATCCAGGGATACTCGAGACTGTCTTACAAACTATGAGCCTATACCTCTTAGACCTATCGGAGGCGTGTAGAGCTCACCTTAAAGTATAAGAAATGTTGTTGAATTTCTATTACTATTATTCAACGCGACCAACATATAATTCGCAGTGCCACAACACATGGTTAACAATAACAAACAGGGAAAAGCTGGTAGTCAGTGTAGTGTTTGAAAGGTTTGGAAAGTTCATGCCTTGTGTGGGTAGAGGTACTTCCGGTTGCCCAAGCCGAGGAAGAGGGTTGACTTAAGGGACCCCACTCCAAGCCTTTGGTCATAAAGACCTGACCCGCAAAGCAGAGGGGCGATTCACGAAGACAGTTGACAGCCGGGTGGCTCCTTTGCCTGTTTGTGTTCGGAAGCAGTTAAGAGAGAAACCGATGGCCAGCAAGGATTTTCATCTGCCCTCCGTTACTTACTCACTTCTGTGGTCAGAAGCGGTCAGTGACCCTATAGCAGGTCACATTGGCTTTGACACAGCGCCGTACAAGTTCATGTGGTATTTGGTGGAGAACCAGGTGACCAGCCCAGAATTCACCACGCTCTGAGACGACGCCGCTGATTGTCCGTGACTGCTTATTCATTTCGCCTACAAAGCAAGCGGGGCTTATTCGCAGTTACGTCCACAAGGAAGGTATTCCCCAATCCGCAACCTGGGGACGCGCCCGATAGCGTACAGTTCTGCTAAGGGTGTGTTGTTGAAGTCGGGCACTAAGTATCAGTTAGCAAATCACGAATGACTCTTGAGACTGTTGTAACACAAGGAGGTTGGAGGATGTAGGCCATTTAGCATATCAAGATTGAATGCACGGGAAAAGCAAGTAGAGAGTGGCTAGGGAAAAGTACCCCAGAAACGTTGGAATCCAACACAGAAAAAGATGGTAGTGTGTGCACAAGTCAATGACGCATCCATATTTAGAAATATTGGAAGCAAATGCGAATCTATGCGCGTTACGAGTTAAAGCCCTTTGCTTTAGCTATCGGAATATGGAAAAGGAGAATACATGGCAGATTGTTATAAGTTTCAAACTCAGAAGCGCAATCATTAGTTAAGGGCCTTCGTAACAAGGCTTGAGTGTGCAAGGTTCGTCTGTGGATACAGTTCATCAGGAAGAGACGTTGGCAACGTAAGTGACGTGCCCGTCTGGTGGGCTGTAGTTAATGCGGTTGTGTGGGTGTGTTTCCCATGAGGCTTGGTAAACCACCAAGGCATCCACGAGGAGCCGATAGGTAAAATGACTGGGTAAATGTTAGCACATGGTAAATATGCTGCTACTTCCGGTTCCATTCACCAAGCTAGGTCAATAATTCGTTAGACGTGGCTTGTGTGCTCCATGGTCGCTGTCATTGAAATAACGCGCACCGGTCGGTGTTGTTGCATGTTCGACGGCGTTTGTGATTGGTATCCCGGGTCAAACTGTGCTTAATACGAATATTGACAAGGTGTTTATCTGTCGAATACGCCCACCTCAATTACTGGTTCCAAAAGACTGTTAATCGTTGTCGAGAGAGATACGATGCACAGTCTTTGTGATGGTTCTAGGTTCAAAAAGTGTGGAAAAGGTCTACGGCCCATTCACCGCCCTGTGTAAATTTAGTACGCATGTTTCCAACTTTTCAAGTGAATGGTGTGCATGTTGAAGAAGTGTCAGATGGATTCGAATCCGTCGTGCCTCCCGGTCTTATACCTTTGTGCAAACCAGAAGGCAACGCAAATTACCCGTGGCTCCTCTGCGATCGCATGTGTCCTGTGGCTGACCGCAGTGTGCGTCAAATCCGGAAGCGAATGCTGCAAAACATGAAAATGTAATCGCAAGAAAGAGGAAGGGCTGTAAAATTCCACCCTGGGAATACAAGTTCCCGTACTTACGCTAAATCTGCTGCGGAGCTAGAGGGGTCCCGCGAAATTTGCGCAGATTTCGCCCGAACTCACCTCAGCCATACTGTCATCTTGCGGCATCTCAAACTGTGCAGATAACGACCGGGCCCTCCTCAGGGCATTGCTGAATCTACCACCTTAAACCACAGTAAACTAACTGAGCATTTCTCAGGACACTGGTATATCTACCGCACGAAGCCACGCTGACCTCGACTGAGTTTTCGTCAGGACACAACCATTATGTGGCAAGACATGTGCCTTGTCAATATTCGTCTAGTTTTGTACTACGCTGTTATACTATTGTGCTATCAATATGGTGGTACAGAAGGCATGATTAACTTTCGGCTGAGTTAATAAAAGTACTGTTGCTATCAACCAGTCTTTCGTTTCTGGGTCTCAGTGCAGTCATGCGAACTTACGCGTTTCGTCCCCAGCCTTAGCTTACATGTACAACGTCTGGTCGCTAGGTCACCTAGGCCGTACCGATTTAAATTCGACTGGCGACTCTGCGCGTGCAGGTATTATGGGTGAAAAGTGCTTCGTCCCTTTAGACTAGGAGTCGGAAAAACTAGGACGTGTTATAACCTCACAACATGTATACGAGAGCTGGTGGAACAAGCCATCCAAAATGTGAAAAACGAGTCACTTGCGATTAATGATATATTCAAATGGAACTTGCCTGGAAGCGATTTGCATCCAGTCCGCGTACCACTCCCGTATGAGCCCGGGTCTTAGAAGCGTAGATCACGTGGGAAAGTGAATCAAACTCTGAATCATAGGATGTGGTGAGCAGGGCATATGGGTTGTATAAGACCAAATCACCGGATATACCTCCGGAAATTAAAAGGCCGAACTCGGCCCCTGAGCTGGGCTGGCTCCAGCAGAGGCGAGTGCTCCTACAAAGGAAAAACATCACTCACCTTCCATGACCATGATATGCATGAAATAAACTAACTAATAGGCTCTTGTGTGAAAATGGGTAACATGCCCATATTATACGCTTATATTCACACAATCGTGGGGTTTGTGATGTGTCAAACAGTGCTGTGTGTGCGCTCGTATAGTAGACAACAAAACGCATATGGCCGTAATGGGTTGAGCCGAGTGCACCAGTGCTTAACGAACGAACTCTCACGGCTTTAGGCCGGGGATGTCAAAAGTCCGCTGACCAAATGCGGCCTACGTTACCATTTCCATTGGCCCGCGGCATCACCATGAAATAAAAAAGGCAAGCTTGGGTATTTCTGTACAGACGATGTCGTAAAGATAACAAAATATTAAGAATGTTATGAGTACAAAATTCAATGGCGTCAGATGTTGGCAAAAATCAATGATGTAGTGTTGTTTATTTTCAATTAACCAAGAGAAGTCAATCTAGCGCTTTTACTGTGGGTCTTAACAAAATCAAAAAATAAACTATCTCAAGATGCTAATTTCACCTGCACAAGAAAAAACGCAATTAAAATTTATAATATATGTCACTTTGGATCAAACTGAATACGGGTCGACATGTTTTTACCTCACAAAATGTGACCTTCCTTAGGAAAAGTTTGGACACCTCTACTCTAGGCAGTACCGCCGCGAGGAGTAACAGTGGATGTAAATGTATGAGCGATATTTATGTATTTTGGAAGAGAAAATCCCAAAAACATACCTGGACTCCACGTTAATGCTCGCAGTGAGTGGCATATCAAGTTGTGAATCCCACTGGATACGGAACAGCTCCAGAACGGGAGGTGAACTGATAAGAAAAGAACAGAACAGCACCCGTTGAGTGTGAACAGAGTGCGAAGCGGAACCTCAATGAGGAATGTGTTTTACACTTTGAAATGAATAATTTGGTCAATTTGGTCGCTGCGACCGTATCTGCAGCTGATGTATGTATGCTAGGAGCTGTTCACTGGCAACGTTGTTATAACCCGTCACCAGTGCAGATAGTCGTACTAAGACCAGTATCGGGGACACAAACATTGCCTGTAGAGGCTCCTTGCACCACATCGCCCACCCTCACGGATAAACCTTGAGAGTCATTTTGTACTTGGACAAGTGTGCGTTGCTCAGAAACGTTTGTCATAATGGAAAGTAATTGTCGATGCGTAACTCCCTTCAAGCACAGATGGATGTGTGTGAGAAAAGTCGGGAGCGTCCGCTACTGCGGTTGGAGCTAGTGACAGTTAGCAAAATAATGTCGGTGATTTCGAGCTATCTGGTTGGCCACCCCAGCTGATTAGAATCCAGTCAAAAACGAAAGTAAACGCAAATACCTGCTGTCGATCAGCAAAAAGTAGTAATTCTTAAAGCACAAGTTAGGTGGTAACAGATCGAAGGAGTCAATCGTGTTCTTCGTACGGCGGCAGTGTGGCGGCAGTGGAGGAGGACCAATATTTGATCACAATGGAAACTGCTGCAGGATGAAGTTAAGATTCGTAAATCCGAATCCAACATGCTTTATGAATAATACGTGGTGATGAGTTGACAGGATTGCCTAGCTTCGGGCCCTGTTGGTTCGCTGCTGCTTAACAAAGTAACTTTGGCGAAAAGCGTTTCGCGTAATTAGATCAAAGGCTATACAACCACCTATGAACTCACCACTGAAGCTTTATCTCCATACCTAAATTATTGAAGTGTTCGCGCACTACGCATCTGTAACTAACGAGCTACTAAGAGACGGGATCAGATAACTTTCTGCCCAGATAGAAACAGCTGTCCTAACGGAAACGGTGGAGAAAATCGCGACGACGCGATTAAAGATGCAGCATTACCTGGACTCAAAACTTAGACTATATACCAACGCCGTTGGGAAAAGTGTTGCATGATCAACACATTGTTTCTGAATAAAGAAAACCATCTGAAATGTATTACTGCTGTCAGTCGCAGACAGGGAAAGTGAAAAACGTCTGCAGCGCATCCACCAAATAAAAATCAGAGTTCGTGCAAACGACAAAGGACGCATCGAGTTCGGATACAATGAGCATCACATTATCGAGATGCCTATCATTCTTCGTTCAAAAAGATCGTCTAGACTGTCATCCAGTAGAATCTAAATTAAGTCACACGGTCTTTTCCATGTTACCCATGACGAACTAAGCATCATCTCCCTAAAAGCGCTGGTTGATAGCAGCATTTCCCAATGTGAAAGCGTTATCTTGGTTATCAGATTTTGTGTGGAAGGTCGCCGAGTCAAACTGTAATACCACGATAGCAGCACCAGCCTGACAGACCTGGATGGTAGTAAATGCGTCGTCACAAACTGGTATAAGAGTTACCGGTAACAACGACAACAACAGCAGCAGTACGTCAGCCATTTGAACTTATGCCACGCTGACATAAAACCATGAAGACCAATGGAATAAAGCACAATAAGAGGGAAAGAAGGGGGATTTACCTGGAAACCTTACTGCCCTAAGGCACCTACGCCTTGTGCCACCAACATGTCATCATAAACATCTGGTTATCATGCAAAGATAAGGCGGCATCGGCGAGACAAATTCCTTGTGACTTTCAATACCCCGCGTCATAATCAGCCATTACCCGAAGATAACTCAGCACCGAACACATGGTAAACAGGCAGTCCGGTTAGAAGACAGCAGCAGACGCGGCACTGGTGTCGGTTGCAGGCCATGTGCCGTAAAGCCTCGAGTCAAGCACAAGGCGGGTCATGTGAAGTCCAGCCCGGAAGACGAGACGGACCGACGGCACCTAATTTCGTCGTTAGCGACTTCATTTCCCACTGCCAAGTCAATTTCTGTTTACCTTGGGCCGTGCACTAGTCTATACCTGGCAGGCTAAACAAGACGCTCCTCGGTAAGCATTGACTGGGTATACATAGTACGCGCTTAAGGTCCCAAGTAAGCAAGCAGTGAACCGTCTGCATCCATAAATCTGTGTTAAAAGTACAGTTACCACAATATGTACTTAGGTTTTACCAGTACTTTACCGTTCTTTAGTGAACTACCTCTCCTCTCCTTGTGTGGCCGATCGGTGGCCCAATGGATAAGACGTCTTGTAACCCACAAGTCGCTGGTTCGAGGCTGGACAGGTGAGGGAAACCCTCGCAATGTCCCCAGCCCGTGCGTGATCGTTGGTGGCTGCGTGCCAGCGAAGCGTCGACATGGTGTACTACTGATGCCTTCTCTTTTCTTCTATGTAAATTGTTAGCTCCCGGTGTAGTCCTCTGTTCATTCAGACCGGTCACTACGAAGTCGGAGTGGAATTAGACAACAGAGGAAAAGGAAATTGCGAAAAGATTTCTTTTCGATAAACCTCTACATGCAATTACAATTATGAGCTTTATAATTATTTATGCAGTAGCTACTGCTAGCGATGCGACACAAAGCCGTGAATACTGCGATCGGATGAACGGTGGCAATCTATGTCTATCTGAAACCACTATGCCAGAAGTCAGGTGACCAGACTAGGGTCACAGTAGGGTTAAACTCTGCACAAGTGCATGTTGTCTACACAGCGCTGGCTTCAGTTGTTTCATAGTAATTGCTTCTGCTGTGACCAGTAGGCGCTTCCTGAGTCCCTTTTGTGTAGCGTTTTGCTGCTACATACACGATTTTGAAGATCTCTTTCGTTTGTCTTATGTCCATCTACTAGGGGTTCTAGGATGAAGCTGTGGACAAGTTCGATGACTGCAAGTGTGGAATCTTTTCGGGGATGAAGTCAGTAAACAATATCTGTTGTCTTGGAAAGTTAAGGTCAGAGTAAAAACGAACGGAAATCATAGACACCGAATACCTATGGGTTACTGTAAGCTAGCGATACGGAAGCGTACTTCTTGATTAGAGCTGATGGTAATGTTGACAAAACGTCTTGCTACCCAGTTTGTACCGGTTTGAACCACAAGAATACATATGGTCAAATATCTAATAAATCGGCCGAAAGGAAATCCACTGCTTCGAAGCGTACGGAAACCTTTTCCAAAGTAACTATAGCCTTCGGATTAATCAACGAGGTCGGTTGTCTCCAAAAGGTCAAATTGCAAGTTGATAACAGATGAAAAACTAAATGAAATGCACTTTTGTTTCAAAAGCATGTAGCGGTATGCAGAACAACAAAAGAAAAGCACAATTGCAATATGTTAAAATCCTAAGCAGTCGCTCAAAAACAAAATGTTGCATGTAAAAACCAAAAGCAGTAAAGGCTTTGAAAAAATACTGTGTTCGTGATGTGAATTTGTCTATGAGCTACTCGACTGAGCTGCTAACGACTTAAGTCACCAAGTTCAAACAATGCGTCATGTGAATGTATATATTTTCTCTGTAGGTTTCATAAGACACGGACAAAATCCACCCGTAAATCGACAACATACCCTTCCATCACCATCCATCCATTCGGGAAAAGTTCAATGACGTAAATAGTGGACTGTTGTAATTTCTAATGATGACACTTTAATCAAAGTCGCAGAGGCAAACGACTTTAAGATAACACACGACGCTTCTCAGAAAAGGACGTGACTTCGCGAACATTCCTCTTAGCGAATCACCCACTTTAGCCACCGAAAAGAAGGCACATCCCACCGTACAGTTTGGTGAGAAAGTAGCGACATTACCTCATAGGCAAAGGCTTTGCAGTTATTATTACTACTTCGCAGTTATTATTATTACTTCGCAGTTACAACTGTTCGCACTCAAACCTAATCAGCAGGGGAGGTTCGAGAAAGATGAAATGCAGTGCTAGTGTGCTAAACGTTTATACGGCTCACCGAAGAAAAGATAGTCTTATCACCGGCAATCCATCACAAAAATGCTGGATACCATAGTCGCTCCTGCGGAGCACCACTGGGTGTCTCATCCAATTTATTTACTGAAGTTGAAATTCTCAATTGAGGAAGTCAAAGTAAAAACTCATAGCTACAAGGGAGCTATCCTATCACTCGCAATTGAAAGATGTTAATTGGCTATGGTAGAGGAAAACTGTTTGTTATCATTAGTCTGTATGCGGTGATATCACTGATCCTGTTACGGGAACCCGCACATAGCAGCCCTCGAAGTCATTTCTCTCTAAAGCAGCCCGGAGAAGATTAGTCGCACGCCGCCCGAAGCTGGCTGGCTAGCCAATGAGAGTAAGCCAATGGCATCGCTTTACCTTCAAGTGGGCCTATGAGAAAGATCTGCCTTGAAGCCTTCAAGTAAGCGCACTACTTGAACAGCCAAGGGCTCGGACTGGTGTCCCATAAGACAAATCCCCATGTCGGCATGAGAAACTAAGTAGCGTTGCACCCTCTCACAAAACCATTAAATGTACTGTATTTTGTTTTCCTTTTTATGGTAACTGTATCTTCCATGATTTTGATGGCGCCATGTCTAGCCTTATACTGTTAAAAAATAAACTGTCTTCAGTGTGCAGCCATTCACTAGTATCGAGTTTTTGATCATGCCTACCGAAGTGAAGCATTTCCTTAAGCAGAAAGATATTAAATCAACCGGACAACGCCGTACAATGCACAATGCGATAGGTGAGTGGAACGGGTAAAAGGAATGAGCTGGAAACCAGTTACGCTTCAAGTTAGATCGAAGGACCTTGCGATAACTCGGTAGGAAAGTGCATTGCTTGAAGCTCTAAATCCCATACATTATCTTCCTTGTACCCCCATAAACGCAACCCTCCATGGGGAATTCGTATAGTCGTAAATCGACGTCGGGAAGCTAGTTACCGAGTTAGATGAGCGCACGGGGATCTGTTGTGTTGTGGGGCTGAGAGGCGATAACATCATAATGAGCGATTAACGGATGAAGTTGAGCTCACGGATTGCAACCCAAATAGTGAAAAGTTAGCTTCCATGGTGGGAAGAAGACATTATCTCACTACTCAACCTGGCACCATCGGAGCAATATCAACCTAGTGACTACTCGATTTTCTTTCCTATGCACAAGCATAACGAGTCAACCACACGTACAGCAAGGGTAACCAGGCGTTCCACAAACAGCTTAAATCACTACGCTCCGGAGCTTTAGTCAAGATATAATCGACAACTAGAGCGGTCAAACTTTGAAAGCATATGCAAGTAATCATGCTGCGTGGATGTCAAAGATGTATAAGAAGGAGTACCTAGTACAAGTGCCGAGTGTACCATTGCCATCATCCTCAGCTGTGATAGTGGCCAAAATCGTGGAGTCGCAAGATGCGGGAGACCAAGCGCAGTGAGCAAAGCGTTCCAGTTCCTTTATCTTCATTGGCTTATATCATTCTGCAGATAGGATGGCAATGATGAAAAGTTATTAATGGGTAAAAATTAAGTTGTCTAGACTAGCGAGAGATAGGTGATGGTGGGTAGAATATCAAGTGCTCACAAAAACCGCTGATGGATGTGACAAGATGATTAGGCTGAGTGTCTGGCGCATAGATCAGAATGGTCCGTATAAACTGTGGCACAAGACAAACAAGATCGGTACATTGACTGCGTGAAATCCACGGAGATGAGGAATTTTTCGAGCATTCCCTAGGAGTAGTTGTTAGTGGAGATGATTAAGCCTTTCCCGTTGAACGCGAAAAATAAGACCGAAACGTGGTCGTCTGTGGAAAAGAAGTAAACGCGCCTACCAGAATCAGTTAAGTGGAAGGTCACAAATAAGAATGCGACGAATCGGGAAAAATAAAGTTTCAACAGTAAACGCAAAGGCAATAATAAAGGCTTAATCAAACACGGTCGACAAGAACGCTACAACCGCGGAAGAACGTTTGAAAAGTAAAAGCGAGCAACATAGATAAATGGTTGAAATGGTGTCGCACATAAGGCGACTCAGCTGAAATGTGTCGTCCGAAATAAGAGTACTTTGAGTGTGTGGCCCAAGCGTACACTGTGACTGTACTGTCAGCTGTTTTATTGATGTGTCAAGGCCCATGCGTTTAGGTGAAATGGATTTGGTTTGTTTGGCCAGAACGAGAAGTATAAAAGTAATAGCAAACAACAACTATATAAGAAAAAGGGAAATCGAGATGGATAAATGTCAGGTGTTGCACTCCATGACCGGTCTGGTACACGTCTGCTCCCGTTAGATAGAGATGGTAAGACTGAGAGCTGAAGCCCGGACGTCGGGCGAATAAATATGAAACCGGTCGTATAATATTGTTGCGAAGGAGAAACCGCTGTTTATCAGCCCTCAAATACGTTTCCATTAACCGGACTGATGGAACCACAGTTCAAAGTGAATCGGAATCCGGATTCAGATTACGCGTCGCAATTCGTTCACACGAGTGTTTCACAATTGTGCATACAAAGAGTGACTTGAAGTGGATAGTTTAGATGCTACTGACCCATCACTACACTCCACGGCACGTTTCCTGTACTTGTCTGGACTCATCAGGTAGAGTCAGCCTGAGCTGGGAGTAGAACAAGGCTCATAGTGGTTGGCGGCTGTCATCACGATCACTAGGACATTGAGCTCCGGGACGTTTAGTGAACTGAAGTGGTCTACAAAAATCACTGAGTCTCAGACGACCACACACGTGAATGACTCATGCGTAAGGAATCGTCTGGGAATCTGGCATTCAACAGATTAATATCCCCAACAATTAAGTTACACCAATGACTAACCATGATGCGGCTCCTCCCATACAGATAACGATAAGCACAAACGCAAGTTGATGATAGACAGTCGATAACGTAAGTTCATCAAAGTGGATGCAACAAGTTCAACGGACAATTAAGTGCAGCAGCACAGAGACTGTCGTTAAACAGTCCAGCACGAATCAGACAAAGACGGACCCTGCACCGAAATGCGGCAAGACTAATTACCATGACTCGAGTCACCAGGATTACGATGGTGAGCTGATGTGGAACGCAGGGGGCAAAAAACGGAGTGAAGTGGAAAATAAAGTAGAGAAGATAATAAGAGTGGAAGCTTAACAAATAGATGTAAGGAAGCGACTGCAGAAGCACCACTAGCATCGCGGCTGTACCAGGTGGAACATGCTGAGGCCAAGATACACAAACACGGCATGATCAAGTGCCTAGGAACCTTATGCCACGTAAACTACTGAACACCTCGTGGTTTCGCTCAACTAGGTGAAGCGACAGAATGCAATGAACGCTGCAGAGGGCATTCAACGAACAGGACATGACCTAACCGAAGTAAGAGGTTTCAATTTGACAGAGACCTCGGCAAGGATCAGAGGGTTTCTTGACAAACACTAAGTGGTGGACCTCGGCGCTGCTCACTCAGCGTTTCCACTATGTGAACAACACTCTGCAGACACCGGTGATCAAAGAAAGTGAGAGCGAAGTACCAAGGTAGATGATGCGCAAAGTAAGACCGATCGAAGCGTTATACACCTTGCGTTTCCCTGACAGGATGACATTCTGTAGTTTCTATGTATGGCCGAGCTTCTGAAAAGCCGTACCGGCTTTGTTGATATGTGCAGTAATCATTTTAGTGATTCGACTACCAGAGGTGAAATTGTAATGGCCGCACAATTCTGTTGTTCCAATCGTACCCACTTATTCACAATTCCATTATTTATTGTATAGTTTGATTTAGTTGACTAAAAACCGATACACACTATTCCGAAATTCTAACCGCATTCTGCCTTTGGTTACGCGTGTTGTGTTTTAGTACATAAGTCTGCTTATCTCGGTGAGCGATCATCAGATATAACAAGTGGAATTATCGTACTGACCATAATCTCGCCTTTTGTATCGGATTGTGAGACTAACAGTCGGGTTACCGGGGAGATTGCCTAACCGAAGGTCAGGTCTAACGTTCTTACCTCAAAGACTGGAAGTTCTTCTATGTAGCGAAATCTATGATTTGATTTTCAAATTACAACACAACAACCGAGATAAATGAGCCGATCGATCATCGTCCAGTGGCTGTTCGTAGACAGCTAAAACTTGTGGTATGTCAGCCCAGTCCTATAATAATGCTTTGTATTTTGAAGACGCAAAGTAAACGCCAGTGTGCAGCGTTACACGACAACCGGTTCAGTAGTGTTTGAATAGCCAGTGGGTTTAACCTAAGGAGATATGTCCTCGGCAAAGTAAAGAATTGCCAGCTATTCACTTGGTAAAAATTCCACTCCGGAAGTTGCTAAGATGGCAGTCTTTTGTTGTCGGGTTCAATCATAAAGTCAAAAAAAGAAAATACAGAATAACATCGGTGAACGTCACTGGTGGTAGGAAACTCAAGAGACATTATCTGTAGACTTTGCAAGACTACGGGAGTCGCGGTATAGATTTCATAGCAGAAAGAAGTTTTTCTAGCACGCTCTTCACAGACAGGCAATGCCAAAAGCTCGCATGATGAATGGAGTCGGTCAAGGAAAACCCCAATAATCGAACATGTCTGCCTCTGCTTCAGCGCTTCACGAAGCGTGAATATGGGGCTAGCAAGATTGCGATCAGGATGGGAGCTAGCCTTGTTCCCAATGACTGGACACTCACGAGGACCGGTGAGTTGTTGCAGAAAGACACACGTGAGATGTTCGGATGTAACTGGAACAAGACTAATGCCTTGATTACTTTCGCACTGTGCGGGAGAGTAAACTACTCCGAAAAACTTATTAATCTCAATGAAAAGGAGTTGGGCCAATGGTGTACAACAGAAACATCAAATCGTTTCAGTAATGTTCCCGTCCACATGATGTACGCACCTACATTCTCATTAGCTAGCTGAACTGATATACCAATCAGAACAGCTGAACTAGCTGTCTGAAACGAACATGGGCTGACTTTCAAATGTCCGTTGATTTCGCACTACTTGTCTCCGTTTCGGTAGTTGCTTCTACGACACGCTTTTGCCGCTAAGAGTTGACTTTTGGTTTCGGCTTGGATTCAAACCTAGCAGAGAACGAGTTCGGCTTAATCGGAATCGCATATCAAGAGGTAGATATAACAAAGGGTGACAGAGGAAAATAGCAAAACAATGAACTTATTTACAGAACTCTTCAAAATGCTACCACAGCAACAGCAAGCGCAAGTGGAGGCGTAAATGAAGCTGATCGAAAGTTGGACGCAATGGATCATTCTGCAGTCTTCAGAAACATCTTCGCGGGATACGCAGGTAAGTTGAGATAATCTCCTAGCCAATTCCGCTACTGAATCCGGAAGTAGTTTGGATGCGTGGTTCAGGCGCTGGAAAGATATGTTCAGGAGGGATGATAGTCGTCAGGATTACTGCTGGAAAGTGGGATTGCTGATCCGCTTACTTGGCATAAATGGACATCCAAGGTTCGTTGATCACATGCTGACAACACAGCCAAAGGATCTCAATTTTGAGGAAGCGATGTGACGACCAAACGAAACTTTCGATGAATTGTCATCAATATTCAGAGTTCATTATCGGTGTCTGGAAATCGTCAAGCGGAACACACACGACTATGGGTGCTGGCAGATATCGCCAACCAGGAGTGCGAACGCTCATGGTTATGCTCACTGTCAGATAACTAAAGTGCCACATTTATCAGCGCCTTACGTTTCCTGCAGGATGTCCAGATCCGCAAAAGACTACTCGCAAAGCTGGATCAAGACTCAGACACCGCTGAAATCCCTGACAGCCGAATGTAAGCGACTGAAACATGACGCCGCCATGATCGAGGATTCTGTTGCACAATCGTAAAAATCCATGTTGTAACAGATGCTAGAGAAGCAGGCCTGACGGCTCCGCCCCGTAGTCACAGGGCGGACCGCCTATTGCCTATTGGTCACGCCGGACTCTGCCCGTGCAAAAGTACATTTGACAAAAGTGCCATTAACAAAGCCACAAAGAACTCTACAAGCAGTTTCGGCCAATGAACACAAGACCGTTCTGATCCAAGGTCGAAAGTGACGGTGCAGACTCACTGTCAGTCGTTGCCACTTTCTAGAGTGAGTTCAATCTCCGAAGACAGTTCAGCACCGCTATCCAAGCGGAAGATAACGAAAATAAACCGATTATGTGTATTGTAACATGTCGATACATGCCCCTCGCACTAACAGGGAACTGATTCTTAAACCCTCTCCAAGAGCATTTCGTCTCAGATTCAAGTTCAAGTGGGACGGGAAAAGTAGGAGGATCCAGTGGATGTTCCACTTTATAAAACATCGTTGATCCCAAAGCGAAATTTGTGGAGCGATCTCCGAGGAGTCAAGTCAATGCGCACGATTCACCCTACGGTCAACCAAACAATGCCCACGTCCCCTGCACTAGCAGTCCTCGCTGTGCCTGCTAGATGAAGAGCGAAAACAAGTCAAGCTGGAACAAAGAATGTAAC